AGGGGGGAGAGGGAGGAGGGAGGGGGAGAGGGAGGAGGGAGGGGGGTTTAGATAATGGGCCACAATACTCAACCTCATTGTATATCGACAAAATAAAATTAAGAAAGAAAAAAAAGAAAAGAAAACCCCACCTCAGCCCCTCCTTGTAAAAGTCTGGGCATGTTGTTTCCACTGTCTGGGCATCAGTTTCTCCATCTGTGCAATGAGGTTATTTGCCCTTGTCCAAAAGCCTTCTTGAGAGGATGAAACAAGGCAAAGCCCAGATGTACTTATACTGCTCCTGTGGACGTCTCTCCACCTTTGGAGAAGGTCAGCCTCAGGCTGGAACAGTGCATGCCATAGCTAGACGTGTCCACTTGCGCCAGCTACGGCAAGTCATGCCTACCCCCTCCCTGGCACCCCCACCCCAGCCCAAGCTGGGGTCAGCCTGGTAAACCACATCTCCTTAGCCAACTCCCCTGAGTGCCTTCCAGGGGCCCTGAACTCTGACTGGAATCGAGCAAATGACCACAGAGGGGCCAACCACAGGTTCTACTCAGGTTTTGGCCTATGGAGACCAGAGAGAGATCAATATGCAAGGAGCTCAGTTGGGAGTAATCAAAGTGCCAGAGCTGCCGCCACCTCCTTTCTCTGACATGGAGACTTTGAGCCAAGCCAAGCCTTCCAGCATGGCCTGGTCCCCTAGGCATCCCATACCTCTAAGACTGGCAAGAGGGGGTGCTCAGCCTCCCCAATGCCAGCAGGGGGAGGAGGGGGTCAAGAGGGGATTTCCTTGGCCCAAGCTTCAGACCAGTGATTCTCAACCATGGCTGCACGCTGCAATCACCTGGGGAGCTTTCAAAAGTACGGATGCCCGGGTCCCACCCTAAGAGGTTCTCACTTAACTGGCCTGGGATGCAGCCTGAGCACAGAGATTTTTTAAATCTCTCCAAGTGGTTCTAAAGTGCAGCGGGGTTGAGACCCACTGGAGTGGGTTCAGTTCTTTTCTTCATGTGTACCTCTGATCAGAATCTCTTCCCCAGACCCAGGGGAAGATGGTTTTCCTCCTGCTACACTAAGGGCTGCATAGAGAAGAAACCCTCAGGCTGGTCTAAGCTCCACAAGGCAGGGACTTGGTTTTGTTTGTCACTGTATCGACAGTGGCCCAGCTCATGCCTGAAACAGACTAGGGGCTAAATGAACACTGGTGGAATGAGATGTATGTGAATAAGTAGATGGATGAATCCCAATCCCTCCCACCTCCTGAGTGCTCCAAACCTTCAAAGTGTGGTCTGCAGAACAGCAGTGTTGCATCACCAGGGAGCACAGATTCTCAGGCCCTGCCCCAGATACACTGAATGATAATTTTAACAAGATGCCCAGGTGATTCTGTGCACATCACTGATTCTACCATACATTAGGGGTTCTCCAACTTCATTGCACATTAAAATTACTCATGACAGTGTATAGACCATCCATGATCTTTTGTGGGTGCTTGTTAAATGCCCCAGATGATTCCAAAGTGCAGCCCAGATTCAGAACCCCTGTACCATAGGTCTGTCTGCCGTAGCTACATCCATACAGGTCTAACCTTGGTTCTGGTCTGGGAGATCTGCTCTCTGACTATCCTGCCCGCTCTTAAAGAGAAAAGCCAACCTCCCTGCAACTCAGTGACCATCCACTCAGCTCTACAAAGAGCTCAGGGAGACTGCCCAGTTCAAATCCAACCTCTGCCACTTCCTTGCTAAGTGACCCTGAGCAAGTCACTCAACCCCTTCATGTCTCAGTTTCCCCCATCTGTACAATGGAGCTGATGGGGGGGGGCACTATTCCACAGTGTTGCATGAAGATTAAATGGCTTAATTGATCTAAAGCACTTACCACAGTGTCCCTTCCCTGAAGTTTTTTTGGCCTCTGTAATAGGCTTCCTAATAAAAGAGCTTACATGAAGAGAGCCTAGATTAAGACTCACCCTGTCCCCCTATCCTGGAAATTCTGCTTCCATAAAGAGGGCAAAAGAGAAGTAAAGGTGGTCACCGTGTGATCACAGTGTAGAGTCCCTTTTGGAGAAAATCAAGACTGAATGAAAAGGCTTATCCATCTCCTTTCTTTCTTTTCATTATTTGTGAAGAGAAATCAGCATCACCGGGTCGTTAGAAAGAGTCCCCGTGTCCGGAGTCAGGGTAGTGAGAGGGAGGATTAAGGTTAACATGGCCAGTCCCTCTCTTCCCCACCCGAGGAACACAGGCTCGCGCCACAGCGCCCAGGACAGGGCAGCTCCATTCCTCCACAGCGGAGTCTCTCCGTGGATTCTCCTTGACCTACCCAGGGCCACCTGATTCCCTAGCACCCCATATCAGGGTGGGTGGGGGTGGGGGTGTGTGTCTCGGAGAGTGGCGCCCACAGGTTCCGTGCGGAAAGATGGTGTCCTTCCTTCCTCTCAAGGGCTGCGCGGGAGCCCATCGCCGCTGCAAACTGGCCGGGCCGGGCGCCGCTCCCGGTCGGAGCGAGCGAGGCCGCTGCCCTCTGCGGCAGACGGCGGTGCGCGCTCCCCGCTCCAGCTCCCGGCTCGCCCGGCGGCCCGCGCGCCCTCCCGGTGCAGCATGCGGGCGCTGTGACGTTCTCGGATAAATGCCGTGTAACTGTGTAGGCGAATGGGAGCTAAAAATAAGAACGGAAAATCTATCATTAAGGTATCATTGCGCCAGCGCAGCTATTTGAAGGCTCCCATGGTCCCTGGCGCCTGCGTTTGAAGCCCGCCTTCGGGCTTTGGGGGGTATTTGCAGAAAACTCCCAGCAGCGGCTCGCCAGCCAGACCTCAGGGCGCAGGGGGTGGCGCCGGTAATTATGGCAACGCTCAAAATAAAATAAAATAAAATAAACGCTCACCTCCCTCCTCCTCATCTCACCCCCTGTGTCGTCCTCAGGTCGCTAGGGAAGGCGCCGGGAGTGGGGCTGAATGCTGAAATGAATGTGACCCCGCCGATTATGACAAGACTAGGACTGGAAGCTCTTTCAGATCTATTTCGCCATCCACCTTCCTCCATCTACCTCGAATCAGAAAAATAAAGTACCGGGGGGAGCCCCTGGAGGAGAAAATGACAACTAGGACTTAACCCCAGGTCAACAGTGCGCCGCGGTGGGGCGCAAAGACGCAAACTCCCGGGATGGCGAGCCCCGGGGTTAAACGAAATTTGATCTGATTGGCTTTTTAACACCTGAAGGGGAGAAGGGGAGACCAGGGGAGGGAGGACAGGGTTTGTGCGTGTGCCCGTGCTTGTGTGTGTCCGGGGAGGGGGAGGAGGCGCCAAGGTGCAGCCTGCGCGCGGCTCTGCGCCTTGGCTGAGCTGCGTGCGTGTGTCCCTGTCCGCGCTGCTGAGACGGGCTCTTCGAGGGATCGGCGTCACATGACTCCGCCTGCCCCTCGCCAGCGCGCAGATCGTCTGTCCCTCAGTTTGCCCGCCGCCGGGGGAGGGTCGGGCGGAATCTCCCGGGCCCCGGGACTCTGCGGAGAAGAGAAGAGGTTCCAGCGGGGAATGGTACATCTGGATTCAAGAAGCTGCGGCTCGGCGCCAGATCCCGGAGTGTAGATATTGCGGGGGGGAGGGGAGAGGGAAGAGGGAGGGAGCGAGCGCCAGAGAGAGGCAGCGCGCGGCGCGCACGGACGGGGGGCTGCTGGGTGCCGCACGGAGAAGATGTAAGCGCGTGGGGTCTCGCTGGCCTCCGAGCACCATGCAGAAGGGGATCCGGCTGAACGATGGCCACGTTGCGTCCCTGGGACTGCTGGCGCGCAAAGACGGCACGCGCAAAGGCTACCTGAGCAAGCGGAGTTCGGACAACACAAAATGGCAAACCAAGTGGTTCGCGCTGCTGCAGAACCTGCTCTTCTACTTCGAGAGCGACTCGAGCTCGCGGCCCTCGGGGCTCTACCTGCTGGAGGGCTGCGTCTGCGACCGCGCGCCCTCCCCCAAGCCGACGCTCTCAGCCAAGGAGCCGCTGGAGAAACAGGTGAGGCGAGCGCGGCGTCCTGACCTCCCCGCGCCCCGCCGCGGCCCCCGGGGTTCAGGGCCTCCGGCCGGCCGATAGCGCCCGAACTTTGGTCCCTCTGCTCTAGGCACCTGGCGCGCTCTCGGAGCCCTCAGCGGGAGGGGAAGTTTGGCCCAAGCCGGGCGGGTGACCCTGCAGCCGGCAGAGAGGGCAGGCTCTGCGGGCGGGTAGTAGGTGTGGGCTGCGGCTGCTCTTCGCCCGGCGAGCCCCGTGGGAGGCGGGGACAGAGGGGCCGAGACCCGGCGATGCGCAGGGCCATGGGGTGCGAAAGGCCAAGCAGAGACGATGAATCTGGACCCACGTCCAGCCGAAAATGGTGCTCCCACCCTGCTTTCCCCCAGCCCTGATAGCCCCAGTGGTCTGCCCCAGACTGAGGAGGTTAAGTCCCCGCGCTTAGGCATGGGAAGGGCGAGATGGAGGCGTCGGAGCGCCGCCGACCCCTGCCTCATGCAGACGGGGGCGAGGAGCAGCCTGCGCTAGCTCCGCCGAGTTGGCGGGCGCGGGGCCGCAGGGTCGGTTCAGTGCCATCGAGCGGTGGTGGGGTGCCCAGCCCGACCCCTGGCCGGTGCAACAAACCCAGGAGCTCCAAGAACCGCTCGGACGCTCCGGGGCTAGCGCCAGGACTGCTGCGGAGACAGCGGAACAAGTGGGCGCTTCTCTCCTCCCCCGCCCCCTGCGCCGTCGCCGCCGCAGTCGCGGCTATAGCGCTGCGCTAGCGTTTCCTGCTGCAAGGCTAAAGGGCCGGGCCTGGATCCGCCCGGGGCCTGGGCCAGGTTGGGGTGCGCCTTTGGCGTGGAGGGAGGAGAGGCACCTGCAGCCGCCGAGTGGGAACACCCAGAAGGTGAGAGAGAACAACCTTTAAGCTCGATGCGCTCTCCAAAGGTGTCTGGTCCGGCCCCCTGCCTCTGGGAAGGTGAAGTAAATGATAGTGGATCCTAAAATGTCACCGGCGGGAGGGAACTGGCATCCATGGCGCCCAGCCAGGTGGTTATTTCCTAGATGGGGACACTGAAACCCAGAGAAAGAAATGCATTTGCCCAATGTCATCCTACCAGGTGTTGAGGCCACCCCAAGGTTCTGAGCAGACAACAGAGATCTCAAAAGCCATTGCTGCATGCTCACCGGTAGTGACCAAATTGGCGGAAATGAAAGCGTGGCTTGAAATCTCCCTCCTAATTGTCAAGACAGAGATCTGAGCTCGATCTCTCCAGCATATTTCTTTCTTCCTTGCCCTCAGCCCATGGGTGTTCAGAGATGATTTCTGGGGACTGGGAAGTGTGGACATGAAATTTTGAGGGTGAGTCTCTGGGGGTGACAAGCCACACGTCAGGCAGGGACTCCCAGATAGCAAAGCATGGGAAAGGTCAGATAGATCCTTAAGCTAAAGTCCAAATGGAGCCTGGAGTGTCACCCAGGAGAGTCACACCCTGGCTGGGCCAGAGACTTCTCTCGGCCCTTGATAACCTGCCCCTCTCCAGTCAAGTCCACCTGTACAACCAGTGGCCTGCAGCCCAAGCCCCAGCCAGAACCCCTCCATCCTGTAGTCCCCTATACCAGAGTCCAGAGCCAAGCTCCTGGGCAGTCAGGGAGAGAGAGGTGGGAAAGCAAAGTTGGTGTGGGCTCATAGGGTCTGTTCTCAGCCCCTGGACATGAAGACTGGCAGGCCCAGACTGAATCCCAGCTCTAGGACTTCCTGGCCATGTGACCTCAGTTAACACGCTAAACTTCTCTGAGCCTCCGTTTTGTAATATACAAAATGGAGATAATAACACCGATCTTGCCAGGGTTTTGAGAACACTAAATTAAATAACATATGTGAAAGAATACTCGCGATATATTTTAGTTGGACCTACATAAATCTTAGTTGAATGTGAGTTATACTCACCTGGGAAGGGTTATTTAAGTCACTGGATATTAAAACTGAAAGGGACAACAGAGATTGTACAGCCCATCATCCCCATTTTACAGAGAGAGAAACTGAGGACCAGAAAAGGGAAAGAAGTTACCCAATATCACAGAGTAAGTCAGTGGCAGAATCAAACCTAGAATTCACCCAGTGTCTAAGAATTCCTGAAAATGAGATCCTACATTGATTCCAAATCATCCAACCCTTGGCTCAGGCAAGGTGGGCAAGGTGGTGGGAGTTTTTCCAGAGGGAAGAAACAGCCTCTGCCCAGGCTGTGAGATAGGAAAAGAGGTGAATCATGCTAGTGGCAGATCATGGGAGGGACAGGAGTGCAAAATCAGTTGACGATACGCACACATGTTCAGAGCCATTTCTTCAGAGCACCACCAGTCAGAGGTCCTCAAGTATGCTCAGAAGAGTAGCCCTCCTGGCTCAAGAGGACAGAATAAGGTTGAGAGTCCACTCAGGCACAAACTTTGGTTAAAGACTTATGCTTCATCTCATACCCTTATATGTATATTCCATTGACTCTAGAGCAAGTTTGACTCATGTGGAAAAGTAGATCCTGCTCCTTTGGCCTATACATGTGTACAAAAATTCTTAATTTTTTCCTTTCTAAATGTTTGAGTAAAATTGATGGCCCACCAGCTGCTCCATGTTTCTCTTTCACTTGAGTACCCAGTGGCATAAGCCACAGAGCCTGGTGTGTCACAGAGACATGGCTCTAGACCATTCTGTGACCAGGGTTGAGCCCACAGGAAGTCTTGACTCGAAACCTGCTGGGCACGTGACGGAGTGCCTGAGTTAAGAGGCCTCAAGGAAGCTGTCGGTTTGATGGGACTAGACCGTATCTAGTGAAGAATTGGTTTTAGTAGGACATCATTTTCACTCAGGTCCAAGAAGACAGCTTCCTCTTTGAAGGGCCAGGGATGGTTTCTGAAGGAATGGAAACCAAGTCTCCGCTGGGAAACCCCAGAGACAGGGACAGGGTCAGGGACCAAGCACATAGTAGATGCCCAGGAAATGCTTATTGAACTGGACTTGGTGTGTCCTGTGTTCACTCCATATTTTATGTCATGAAGACCAGCTGGGCGCTGTGCCCTATGCTGTGTCTGGGCCTAAGAAACAGATCATCACAGGCCCTGGGTCCCTGGGGAAGGTAAACACAGAGAAGGGTGAGCACCTCACCCTGTGAAGATGCTCTAACAGCAGGATGTTCAGGATGCTCTGGGACCCCAGGCACAGAGCTGCAGGCCCATCCTGACATGATACAGTCTCATCTGGCTGCATCCAGACTGGTCTGACTGCATCTGATACAGCCCCAGTGTCCTGGAGCTCTGGCTGGGGATCCCAAGGCCTCATGAAGGTGACTGGTAGAGCCGTGCTCCCCGTGTCCCTCGAGAGCTGCAAGGCACCTCCCTGGCCCGGGCCCTGCTTAGTCAGTCCTGACCTCCTCTCCTCCTGACCCTGTAGCCCACACACCAAAGGCCTGGGTGCCATGGATTTAGGGCCTGGGTTCAGCTTCCCTAGAAGTTGGCCCTTGGTGTTCCATATCCTGCTTTGGCATGGAGTCAACCCACACTGGCTTTTCCCACCCTCGTTCCAAGCTCTCTGAAATAAAGCTTCCAGCCCCAGCTTCTCAGTAGGGCACATGGCCAAACTAACCCCAGCACTCCCAATCTCCCCCCAGCCAGAAGAGGTCAAAATGTGGACATCAGATTCCTGATTCACTTAGAACAGAAGGGACACAGACACATCATTGCAACCATAACCTCAGAAGCTGATGTGGGCAGAAGCTCCAGAATCTGAGGCCACTTAGTGCCCGTTGTCCACCAACTGGTGCCTTTCCCTGGAGACAAGACAAAGCCCCACTCCAGGTCCACATTTACAGGACACATTACTGATTGGCCTGGGGGATTCAAATCAACAGTAGCCCTGAGGCTGTGAGTGTGCCCGTTTTACAGATGAGGAAACAGTCTCATCAGTGGCCACTCAGCAAGGCAGTGGCAGAAATGAGACTCTCATTCTCTGGGTTTCTCATTCTGCAGCTTTGCTGCCATCACCACAGAGCATACTCTCCTGGAGGTGTAGCACATTCAGCCTCTCAGCCAAACAGAAAACTGCAAACCTGAATGTAGGAGAGTAAGGTCTCTGTAAAAGCAGCATCCCTCAGACACAGAACCCTGGGACACCGGCGTATGCATGGTGCCAACAACTCAGACTGCGAAATGTTTGCACCATGATTTCCAGACCAGGCTCAGCCTGGCAGGTGTGGAGCCCCAGGATTGACTGTGTGAAGTGGTCATCTCCCCACCCCAGATGTCCCTAGAGCTGAAATGAGGTGGAAGAGGCTTCGTAATTATGACTCGATTGAGACAAGGAAGTATCAGCTCCTTGCCCCTATGCTTGGTGACCGTGGGTGAGTGTTGGGAATAGATTATAGGCATACAAGCCTAAACTAAAATCTGACATCATTTATGCAAGCAGCTAACATTTTGGCTCTCAGTGCCAGGCCTGTGCTAGGTCCTGCAGATACAGAGAAAAAAAGAAAACTTAATCTTTGTCTTCAAAGTGTTCTTAGTTGAGTGGGAAGATCTCCTTGAGATTCACCCCACAGTAATCACCAAGTGCTGGGAATTCTCCCTCCCAAAGAGCCCCAGACTCTCTCCCCAGCCCCTGCCTTGGCTCAGAAGCCGGTGGTATCCTGCTTGATTTATTGAATAGCCTCCTCCTTATCCCACCTCACGCCACTCCAGTACCTGCTCCACACAGCAAGCAGCCAGAGTGATCTTTTAAAATGCAAATCAGATCAGGGAACTAAGCCACTGAAAGTATCAGTGGTTCCTGTTGCCTTTAGAAAAAAATTCAAATTCCCAACCATGACCTGGAGGACCCACCGAGTTCCAGCTTCTCCGAACCCCTCTAACCCAGCCCCACCCACCCATTCTCCTCCCTCCTCACCCTGCTCGGCCGCAAGCCTCCACTCGTACATATGTCTCCTCTTTTCCTATCTCACAGCCTGGGCAGAGGCTGTTTCTTCCACCTGGAATGACTC